CACACGCTTGTGAGCGTGCAGGAGTGTAGCTGGGCACGCGTATAAGTGTGCAAGAGGCGGCTTTTCCGCACCCCGCACGCAACCCCACGGCTGCGCTGCCGTGGTGACACGAGCGGGACGGGGATGGGGACACGCGGTGCCACCACCACATCCACCCGCTCGCACCTCACCGACAAGCTGAGCACTGACACGCTCATCACACCCATAGGGCTCTGAATCGCTTTGCTGGGCTGGGGAAGCGCTTGGGAGGGGAGGTTCAAAGGGGTGAAGGGAAGATGAAGGGGTGGAAGAAGGGGGTGCTGGAGGGATTTAGGGGTTCCGGAGGGATCTGGGGGGTCTGCAGAGGGATGTGCCCACCCCCGTGGCGCCGGGGCGGTGTCGGGGCGCTCTTGGTCGCGTCCTGAGACTATCGGGGAGCGGATTTTTGGGCTGAGACTGCCATCTTCAGGGAGGCCACTCTCGGCCCCGCGGGGCGCGGAGCCCCCCGGACCCCCGCGATGGGGAAATAGGCAGGGAAGGGGGTCAACACCCCCCCCCCGCCATTGTCACCACGTGCTTACTGTAGGACCTACAGTAACGGGGTCGCAGCAGGGATCATCTGTGGGCCGCAGCAGGAGCTTGCGTGGGGAAACTGAGGCAGGGGGACCATCCCCTCCACCACAGCCCCTCGCTGCTGTAGCTGGCACGATTTCCGTGAAAATAATGCAAAATCCTGCAAAACACGCATCTACCCCCCAGGGGGGGCACCCCGATTCACCCCAGTTTCTCGAGGGGGTGGGCGGGTTTTTCATCTCCCACAGCCAGGCTTGCTGCTCCCCAGTACTCCCAGTCCTCCCAGTATAACCCGGCAGAGGGCACCAGTAAGCCCAGTTCGTGGTCTTTTCTCCCCCCCCCCCGCTCCCGCCCGCCCCTTGCTGGCAGCGGGGGGAGGGTGGAGGAAGGGGAGGAGGAGGAGGAGGCGAAGGCCGGGTGCGGGGGGGATTTAAGGGCCCGCGGTCCCCCCGGCCCGGCCTCCTCCCGCCGCCCAGAGGGACGTGGGTGTGGAGACCCAAGTTTGAACGGGTACGTGTGTGACCCCCTCCTCTCCCCGGTAAGGACCCCCGGGGCCGTGGCTGCCACCCTGGGGGAGCGAGGGGTCCCAGGAGAGCGGGTTTGCGGGGGGAGCAACAGAGGGGAGGTGCGCTGGGGATGCGGGGGGTGATGGGACGCGGGGGTGCCAGGGGGACACGGGGTGTGATGGGGACGTGGGTGGGCAACAGGGACGTGAGTGTGCGGTTGGGACACGGGTGTGCGACAGGGACATGGGTGTGCAGTGGAGCCACGGGCGTTTGGTGGGGACAGGGGCATGGGATGGGGATGCGGGACATAGGATGGGGACGCGGGACATGGGATGGGGACGCGGGCATGGGATGGGGACGCGGGCATGGGATGGGGACGCGGGCATGGATGGGATCGATACGCGGGCATGGGATCGATACGGGGGCATGCATCAAGGACACGGGTGTGTGATGGGACATGGGTGTGCAACGGGGACACAGGTGTGCGACGGGGATGGGGATGTGATGGGGGCATAGGCCAGGGATGAGGGCACAGGCCAGGGATGGGGGCAGGGCTGTGTGAGGGGGACACGGGTACACAGGGCATGGGGACACGCGTGTGCTATGGGGATGCAGACGTGCAGCAGTGACATGGACATGGGATGGGGACATGGCCACGTGGTGGGGACCCCGCTGTGCCACGGGGGCCGTGCCACCGTCCCCCAGCCCGGGTTGGTGACAGTGAGGTGACGCCCCGTGGCATTGGTGGCCAGGGGAGGAGGGGGGAAGCTGGCGTGTCCCCAGGGGGTCATATCGGTCTCTGCACGGGGAGGGGACATTTCCTTCTGTCCCCGCTTGGCTGAGCCCCGGGGCAAAGGTCTCGGTGGGGAAACTGAGGCAGGAGCGGGTGCCACCCGCAGCTCTCTCTGTGCAGCACCCGCTCAGCGCCGCACGATGAAGGCTCTTCTCCTCCTCCTCCTCGCCCAGCTCTGCTCCGCATCGCTGGTCCCCGGTAGGTGAGGTTTGGGGGGCGGCACCCCGGCAGTGGGTGCTGTTGGGTGCTATGGATCCTGGTTTCCCGCAGAGAGGGAGAAGGACCCCGAGTACTGGCGGCGGCAGGCGCAGGAGACCCTGCGGAACGCACTGAGGCTGCAGCGCCTCAACCAGAACGTGGCCAAGAACCTCATCCTCTTCCTGGGGGACGGTGAGCTGGGGGCACCCGCCCTGGGCTGGGGGGGACGGGGTGCGATGAACTGGGTGCAGTGAAGTGGGGGCCGTGGTGAGTTGGACGTCGAATGTGTTGGGTGTCGTGGAAAAGGGGGTGCTGGGGTGAGGTGGGTGCTGGGATAAGCTGGGTTTGCGGTGAGGTGTGTGCTGGGGTAACTGGGTCTGCAGTGAGGTGTGCGCTGGGGTAACTGGGTTTGTCAGCAGTTAGGTGCTGGGATAAACTTGAGTTTCTAAGAATTTGGATGCTGGGGTAACTGAGTTTGCAGTAAGGAATGTGCTGGGGTAACTGGGTTTGCAGGAAGGTTTTGCTGGGGTAAACTGGGTTTGCAGGAAGGTTATGTGGCTTTGTAAGCAGTTGGGTGCTGGGATAAAACTGGGTTTGCAAGAAGTTGGATGCTGGGATAAACTGGGTGCTGGGATGAACTGGATTTGCAAAAAAAAATGGGTACTGGGGTAAATTGGGTTTGCAATAAACTGGGTGTGCTGGGGCAAACTGGATTCTGGAATCAACTGGGTGCTGAGAGGAACTGGATTTGCAAACCAAAATCTGGGTGCTGCAATAAATTCGGTTTGCACTAAGTTGGGTGCTGGGATGAACTGGGTGAAGGGATGAACTGGATTTACAGTAAGTTGGGTGCTGCAATAAATTGAGTTTGCAGTGAAATTAAGTGCTGGGGTTGTAATAAATTGGGTGCTGGGATAAACTGGGTGCTGCAATGAACTAGGTGTGCAATAAACTGAGTGCTGGGATTAATTGGGTTTGCCAAAAACTGGGTGCTGGATAAACTGGGTTTGCAGGAATTTTGGTGCTGCAGTGGACTGGGTACTGGGATAAACTGGGACTGCGAAAAATTGAGTACTGGGGTAAACTGGGATTACAATAAACTGTGCTGGAATAAATGTGGTTTGTAAAAAATTGAGTGCAAGGATAGACTGGGTTCTGGGATAAACTATGTGCTTAGGTGAATTGGATTTGCAAAAAGTTGGGTGCTGCAATAAGTTGGGTTCTGTAGTAAACTGGGTGCTGGGATAAACTGGATGCACAATAAACTGGGCTTGCAAACCAATGGGTGCTGCAATAAACTGGGTTTGAGAAAAACAGGTGTTTCAGTAAACTGGGCTCTGTGGTAAACTGGGTGCACAACAAACTGGGCTTGCAGAAAACTGGGTGCTGCAGTAAACTGGGTCCTGGGGTAAACTGGGCTTGCAATAAACTGGGTTTGCAGTGGACTGGGACAGACGGGGTTGGTGCGAACCGGTCTGGTGCCGCCCGGTGCCACCATCACCCGTGTGCCGAGCTGCCCGTGCTCAGCTGTCCCTGCCCCGTGTCCCCCAGGCATGGGCGTCTCCACGGTCACGGCCGCCCGCATCCTCAAGGGGCAGCTGCAGCACGGGCAGGGCGAGGAGAGCCTGCTGGAGATGGAGAAGTTCCCCTACGTGGCCCTGGCCAAGGTGAGCCCCCCGGGGCGCCCGCGGGGACCGGCACCCCCCGCAAGGTCGCGGGCGGGCGGCATCGACCGAGCCGAAATTAGGTCAGGGGCGGGCGCAGGGAGCTGGTCCGGTGCCTGCTGGCCGTGCCAGGGCCGGCCATGGGAACGGGGAGGGGGGGCAGGAGGAGCCCGGCGGCTGCGGGACACCACGGGACCCTCCCCCCCGCTTCGCCCGGGGTCGTTTTGCCCAACAAAACACTTGGGTTTATAACTAAATTGGAAGTCGTGGCCGTCTCTGTTCGCCCCCCGGGGGTGCCTGTGGTGGAGGCTTCGCTCTCCCCGCCAAAGAACGGGCTGCAAGAAGGCCGAAAGTAGCGAAACGCAGTGAAGGAGGGCTGTGCCACCACGCTGAGGGGCAAAACTGGGGGGCCACAGGTGGGATGGGAGCCCCTGCAGGCTAAACAGCACCGGGAGGGGAGCTCCAGGGTGGGGATAGTGATGATGGGTGGGGGTGATGGCGGTGACAACGATGGTGATAACGATGATGGTGACAATGATGGTGATAATGATGATGGTGACAACGATGGTGATAATAAAGGTGATAACGGCAGCGGTTTGTCCATCTCCCACCCCTCCAGACCTACAACACCAACGCCCAGGTGCCCGACAGCGCTGGCACGGCCACTGCCTACCTGTGCGGTGTCAAAGCCAACGAGGGCACCCTGGGCGTCAGCGCCGGCGTCACCCGCGACCGCTGCAACACCACCAAGGGCCAGGAGGTGACCTCCATCCTCCGCTGGGCCAAGGACGCAGGTGAGGGGCCGGGGGGCGCCCGGGGGCAGGTGAAGCGGTGGCTTTGGGGCTGTTCTCACCGCCGTCCCCCTGGGCTCGGGGTGCAGGGAAGGCCGTGGGGATCGTCACCACCACGCGCGTGACCCACGCGACGCCCAGCGCCGCCTACGCCCACTCTGCCAACCGCGACTGGTACTCGGACGGGGAGATGCCCCCGGACGCCCTGGAGGGCGGCTGCAAGGACATCGCCCGGCAGCTGGTGGAGAACATCCCCGACATCGAGGTAGGGATGGCACCAGGAGCAGCTGAGGGGGATGCTGGAGCCACCCGAGGGTGGGGACAGGGCCATGGGGAGTTATGGGGCCAGCACCACCAGTGGCTGAAGGGCTGGGACTCCCAGGAGATGTTGGGCTGGAACCACCAGTGGTTGAAGGGCTGAGACTCCCAGGAGATGCTGGGCTGGAACCACCAGTGGCTGAAGGGCTGGGACTCCCAGGAGATGTTGGGATGGAACCACCAGTGGTTGAAGGGCTGAGACTCCCAGGAGATTCTGGGCTGGAACCACCAAGGGGTGCAGAGCCAGGACTCTGAATGGGTACAGGGCATGGACCACCCCTGCAGATGTGAGGCTGAGACCACCCATGGGTGCAGGGCCAGGACTGTGGGTAGATACGGGGCCAGGACCACCAATGGGTGCAGAGTTGGGATCCACATAAGATGGTGGACTGGAACCACCCATGGGTGCAGAATCAGGACTACCCATGGGTGCAAAGCCAGGGTCCCCAGCATCTGTGGGACCACCCATGGGTGCAGATTTGGGAACCCCCAGCAACTGTGAGACCAGGACCACCCATGAGGACAGATCCAGAACCCCCAGCAGATGTGGGACCAGAATCACCCGTGGGTGGGGTACCAGGACTGTTGGGTGGACATGAGACCAGGAACCTCACCCCTTCAGACACAGATCTTGGACTACAAGCACATACAGGATCAGAGCCCCAAATCTCCTCCTCCACAGCACCCCCTGCCTTTCCCACACTTCCCAGACCCAAAACTCTCCATTTCTCTCCCAAATCTGCCCCTCGCTGTGGATTTATGCAGAAATTCAGCCCTGTAAATAAATCCTCTTCTGTCCTTCAAAATAGCCCCAAAGCAAAACATCCCAGCCTGTTATTTAGCTCTTTAATAGCCTCTTTTGCTGTTTTTTTCCCTTTAATATAATTTTAACTCTGTCCCAGGCTGGAAATAATTATATAGTGGGGAAAAGAAGTTTTTTCCCTTTTTTTTTTGCCTTAATAATTTTGGCGTTGGTGTTTTGCAGCTTTATAATTCACCTTCCACGCTGAGAAAGGGGGGGGGAAACACAAAAAAACATAAAATCTCTGCTGGGTTATAAATAACAGAGACCAAATAAATCAGGCTCCAAAGCAAACAGGGAGAGCCGCGGGATGGGGCTCCATCCCGGCGGGTTCATGTGGGGATCCCGATGTGGAGCATCCTTCCCGCAGAAGGGGGAAAAAAAAATAGCCCAAAAAGCCAAACTCCCTGCTGGAATTGGTTATTTTTGTCCTGGGTTTTAATTAATAGGAAGAGATTCAGGGTTATTTTGAGCGAGGTGAAATTCCTCGGGTGTTTTCGCCCGCAGCGCCGGGGTTTTCCTGGACATCCTGCTCCGCCTCCTCGGGGTCTTCCCCCCCATTAAACCCCCCCAAAATTAAAAATAATTAAAAATTATTAAAAAATACATTTTCTCCCCGCTTTTGCAGGTGATCATGGGTGGAGGGAGGAAATACATGTTCCCCAAAAACGCCAGTGACGTGGAGTATCCCCACGAGGAGAAGCACCGGGGCACCCGCCTGGACCGCAGGAACCTCGTCCAGGCGTGGCAGGAGGCCAAACCCCCCGGCAAGGTGACACTGGGACCCTACAGAGCCATTCCTGGGGGCTGGAATGCTCTGGGGAGCAGTCCTGGGGGTGGCAGAGGCGATGGGGAGGTGACAGTGCCTGTCCCCTGTCCCCAGGTTGCCAAGTACGTGTGGCACCGGCGGGAGCTGCTGGCGCTCAACCTCAGCCGCATCGACTTCCTCCTGGGTGAGTCCCGGCACCCAGGGGTGCTCCAGCCTCAACTGGGTGCTCTGGGGGGGACCCCTGGCCTATGCTGGGGCAGCTGGAGCAGGCAGGATGCTGCTGGCTCCAAGGGATGCTGGTACCCCACCCTGGGGATACTGGGAGCTCACACCCAGGGATGCTGGTTACCTCCAGGGGATGCTGGTATCCCCCTAAAGATGCTGCTACTTCCCTGGGAATGCTGGTACCTCGAAGGGATGCTGTTATGCCCTCCCCAGGGATGCTGCTGCATCCTGGGAATGCTGGTTGGTACCCCCCCTTAAAGATGCTGTGCCCTCTCCCAAGGATACAGATACCCTCTCTAGGAATGCTGGTACCCCAAAGGGATGGTGTTAAGCCCTCAAGGATGCTGCTACTCCCCCTTCTTGGGATGCTTCTACCTCCCAGGGATCCTGGTACCCCTCCCCAAAGATGCTGGACCCCACCCTAGGGATGCTGGTACCCCAAAGGGATGGTGTAACACCCCCAAGGAGGCTGCTACTCCCACCCTGGGATACATCTGCCTCCTGGGAATGCAGTTTTTTTGCCAGTGGTGCAAATCCCAGCCCGGCTGGGATGTGGGATCCATCTGGGCCGGAGGAAGGAAGGGCTGGGAATATCCCACAGTTCCTATCTAATCTCCCTGGATCCGGTGGGGTGTGAAACGCTTGAGTCAGCACGAGGAGCAGGATTTGGCCCCCCCTTTTTTTTTTGTGTTGGTGAGGGAAGGATGTCCCCAGCAGCGTCCCTGTCCGTCCCCAGGTCTCTTCGAGCCCGGGGACATGGTGTACGAGCTGGACAGGAACAACGAGACGGATCCTTCCCTCAGCGAGATGGTGGCTGTGGCCATCAGGATGCTCCAGAAAAACCCCCGGGGCTTCTTCCTCCTGGTTGAAGGTGGGGGGTGGTGGGGGTGCAAAAATGGGGGGTAAAAAAGGGGGGGTGTAAAGGGGTGCAAAAAGGGAAGGGTTGGATAAAAGGAGGCTGGAAAAGGAGGATAAAGGGGGCACTGGGGGTACAAAAAGCGGATTAAAGGGGATAGTGGGGGTGCAAAAGGGGAAATGCAAAAAAGAGGAGAATTGGGTAAAGGGGGTGGTAGAGGTGCAAAAAGGGGGGGTAAAGGGGGTGATGCGGTGCAAAAGGAGGGGGATTGGGTAAATAGGTGCAAAAAGTGAGGAATAGAAAAGGGAATAGGATAGCAGAGGAGGTGATGGGGACACCAAAAGTGGGGATAATGGGGAGATGGAGGTGCAAAGAAGAGGGAGAACAGAGAGGGAGGATAAAGGCGTGATGGGGGGTGCGTGAAGGTGGGATAAAGGGGATATGGGGAAATGTAGAAAGGGGATATGGGGTGATGTGGGATGCAAAATGAGGAGATAAGGGGGTTGGTAAAGTAATGAGAAAGGGGAGGAAATAAGAATGGAGGTGCAAAAAGGGGGAATAGAAGGAGTGATAAGACAGGGATAATGAGCAGGGGGGGAATGAAAAGGGGGAATAAAGGGGTATTTGGGGGATGCAAAAGGGGTATAAAGTGGGGGTGCAAGGCTGGGAAGGGGAGCGTGCTGGGGGCTGGAGGCTCTGGCGGGCGATGCCGAGCCGTGCCGGGTCCCTCAGGCGGCCGCATCGACCACGGGCACCACGAGGGGAAGGCGAAGCAGGCGCTGCACGAGGCTGTGGAGCTGGACCGCGCCATCGGCCTGGCCACGCGCCTCACGTCAGCTCAGGACACCCTGAGCGTCGTCACCGCCGACCACTCGCACGTCTTCACCTTCGGCGGCTACACCCCCCGCGGGAACCCCATCTTCGGTGAGTCACCTGGGGGACTCCCTGGGGACGCCGTGGGGACGTCCCACCCCGCTGACTGTGCCCCCACCGCCAGGTCTGGCCCCCATGCAGAGCGACGTGGACCGCAAGCCCTTCACCTCCATCCTCTACGGCAACGGCCCCGGCTACAAAATCGTGGCGGGCGAGCGAGAAAACGTCTCTGCCGTGGATTTTGGTGAGTCTGCTTTGGGCCAAAACCCCCTAAAATTGTCCCAGCTTGCCTATACTGTTTTTTGGTTTGGTTTGTTTTTTAAATATTCTAATTTTTGGTTCAATTATTCCAACTTTCCCCCCCCCCCAGCACACGCCGACTACCAGGCGCAGTCGGCCGTGCCGCTGCGGCAGGAGACCCACGGCGGCGAGGATGTGGCCGTGTTCGCCCAGGGCCCCATGGCCCACCTGCTCCACGGGGTCCACGAGCAGAACTACATCCCCCACGCCATGGCCTACGCCGCCTGCATCGGCTCCAACCGCGCCCACTGCAACGCCGGCGCCCGCCCCGCCGCCCCCCTGCTCCTGCCCTTCCTCGCCCTCCTCATCCTCCTCTGCTGAAGTGCCTCTTGCAGATCACCCAGGGGGGATTTATTTTTAATTCGTCCCCCCTTTTTATGGTGTGTTATTTTTTTTTTTTTTGTGGAGAGCAGCGCCCGGGAAAGAGGAGAGAAGGAGAACAGAGAGACTCAGCGGAGCAAAAGCAGCCGCCGGCGGTTTGGTGCTGGGAGCTGCCTCTGTAAATACACGGTTCCTTCCCTATAATTAGCAGCGTTCCCTGCCCTGTCCCAAACCCACTGTGGGATTTGGGATGGCAGCCGGAGGCTCAGCGGATAAAACCCCCTCTTTGAGCGGAACGCGATGGGGCTGGGTCCCAAAATGCCTCCCAAACGTCCCCTTGGCTGAGGACTGACCCCGCTGCCCAGCTCCTCACATGTGTGGGGAGCCAGAAACCACGCCAAGATGGGGAAAAAAAATTAACTCAACAGGTTAATTTGTCCCTAAACTTGGGGTTTGTTGTCTCCTCAGTGATTTATTTTGCTTTAAAAATCGCTTCGGGTTAAGGCAATTTGCTGCCCCGGGAGGGATCTTGACAGGGGGGAAGGCAAGAGGAGCAAAGGGGCTGGGATGCGCTGGGACACGCCCCTTCATTAGAGCGAGGTAATTAGGGGGCAATTAGGAGGTGGGGTCATGGGGGGAGGGGGCTTGTGCAGCTCACGGGGTGCTGGGGGGGTGAGGGTTGAGCTGGAAGAGGGACACTGGGTGTGCAAATGACACTGAAATCGTGTGCTCGTGTGAATGTCACTGCAAACGCTGGTGTGGATGTGCAAACCCTGCCTGAGCTGAGCAAGGGCCGCCTCGGGTGTGCAGATGCCACTGGGCACTTGTGAAACGCCCCCGGGCGCAGTGCCTGGCGTGTGCCGATGTCACTGTGCTTGTGCAAGCGCCACCACGCACGTGCAGAAGTCCCTGTGCAGGTGTCACTGTGCCCCTGGGACACACGCTGGTGCACACACAGGTGTCACCGTGCACGTGTGAAATGCCTCGGGGCACGTGTGAAAGCCACCACGTGTGTGCCGTGCCTGGCACGTGGGAGTGTCACTGTGCTTGTGCCAGTCGCTGCTTGCCCGAGCAGGGTGTCCCCATGCCCGTAGGACGCACGGGAGGTGCCTGCACTCGTGCAAACCCTGCCCTGGCTGAGCCAACACCACATTCCCACACCAGTTCCACCCACGACCAGCCCTTGCACCCCCCCCCCAGCCGAGCCGGGCACTGCCAACACCCCCCTGAGTGCCCCCAAGCTCCCCCAGGACCCTCCAGCCCTCCCCCAAATAAACACACACCCCTCTATGTTTTTTATTCATTCACAAGTTTCATAATTAAAAACCCAGTTTCTCATTAACCAGGGCCCTTCGGGAGGGATGTAGTCATTGACCTCCTCGAGACTGGGTTTTGGGGGGCTCTGACAGCCGCCCTTCGCCCCCATCCCCTCCCCCGGCATCGCCGGCGTCGCCGGATCCAACCACAGCCCCACCGCCGGCGCTTCCCAGAACTCCGGCAGCCCCGGGCTATGTTTAACCACTCCCGGGGTGCCGCGTGGTTTTTGGGGGTTCGGGGGGAGGTGGAACCACGTTCTCTTGGCCGGGGGGTTGGCGGGACGCCGGCGGCCACCGGGGCCGCGGCCAAACGCCGCTCCCGACGCCGGGCTGACCACGGGAGCCAAGCACAGCCTGGCTTTTGGGGGGGGTGAGGCCACTGCCTGCCGTATTTTGGGGTACCCGCAGCCCCCTCCCAAAAATAGGGAGCATTAAAAAGAAAGGCTTTGCTCGGTCTGGCTGCTGGGAAGCCTCAAAATTTGGCTTACGTGACCCCCCCAAAATGAGTGAATTTAGGGGTGTTTTTGTAGCCCCTGCTGATGTTTGGGGTTTTGGGGACCCCCCTTTCCCCCCCCGATATTGGGACTCACCCGCTGTAGCGATAAATAAACCTTTATTTTATACAGGACTCGCGGGAAACACAAACACGAGTTGGAGGGGTGTGAAAAAATAATCCTTCCCTCCCCCCAGCTCCAGCCTCCGACCCATTCCGGAGCTTTTTTTCCCTTAAAATAAAGGTGGGGAGGGGGAGCCCCACTTTGGGCTTACCCTGGATTTGAGCCCCCCATTTCTCTTTTAGGGAGGGCGTGATGCTGGGGTTGGACCCGCTCTTCATTTTGGGGTCACGGCAGAGGGGGGGGCCCTTCGTGGTGCATCACTGCCCCTCCCCCCCGAGGGGTATTTGGGATGACAGATTGTCTGGAGGGGGGGACACTCCCATTTTAGGGGGGTCCCCCCGAATCCTGCACCGGGGATGATGGCTTCAGCTCCTGGCACGGGGGTGGCACACGGGGGGAATGAGGGGGGCGAAGCGGTGACCCCCCGCGGGTGGGGGGGGACTATGAGCCCTGTGGGAGGGACATCAGTGGGGGCACCCCAGTGTGAGCACCCCCATCCTGAGGTGTACGGGGTGGGGGGCACAGCCTCACCGGATTAGGGGGGGGCTGCTCCAGCTGGATTTTGATCTCGGGGCAGGGGGACTCGGGGGGGCGGCGACCTGGGGGGAAGGGGGGATTCATGAGCACCCCGGGGCCACCCCCAGCCCCGCGGGGCGCTGACGCCCCAGAGAGGGGCTACTGGGGGGG